GGCCCAAAAGCAAAAAACTCAATTCGAGATTAATTAGTGTACGATACTGTAGTTGTGATTATGTGAAAAATGTAGTTTTTTTTTTTTTTTTTTTTGTATTTTTTTTTTTTTTTTTTAGCATGTGTAGTTCTTGTTAAATAGTTTTATTATATATATATATATATAAACCAATTGTTGTTTACATATTATGTTAAGTTTTCATCTAAAATTTATGTCTACAAAATTAAAAAGTTAAAGTTTGATAATTAAAACTGAACAAAAGTATTATTTTTAGCCAAACTATAAAAATAATTAAAATTGAAAAACCTTTCTAAATTAGAATAGCTAAGCCTCAATGCTGATAATTTTCTACTAAACTAGGTGATGAATGAGGATATGTATTTGTTTCATTTTTAAAAAAATAAGTATTTCTTGATTATTTACTAATTTAAAAGGAAAATTAGTTATTAAGGCTTAGTTCTGTATAGCTTATTAGAGAAGTTTCTTAATTTTAACTTGTTTTGACAAAGAAATAGCCATTAATATCAATCAAATAAGCCTGTAAACTAAGTGGCTTATAGTCCCTACATGGTACTGAAACGGAAAAGGTCAACAAACAACAATTGAGCATGAAAACAACCTTTAAATTGCTAAACAATTCAAGAGTAGATGATTTTTGTTGTAAGGTAGGGTCAAAGTAATCCAAAAATATTTGTTTCTAAGCTTAGGTTCATTGGTATTGTACACAGCAACATGGCATATATGTTTGTATCTATTAGGGCCAATGTGATCCAAAAATATTTCTTTCTTTCCAATCCTTTCACATTATATCACATGGATGGTCATGCGCACCTTAATTAATGACAACATCCACTTTGTCTAGGACCTAATTAACCAATTAATCTTCTTCTCACACAATACAAGTTTCCAAAATGCTTGAGGGATATTGGATAAACAGCACCATTGTGGTCCCATCCCCGCTTTTCATTATGATAGATACTAATGTCTTAATTAATCTAAATAAGCCAATGGGTCTTAGATTCAATAATAAAAAAGATGCTAAAATGGTTCGAGGGATTTTTTAACATGTACTGTCGTAATGGTTAAAATTTTAAATTAGAGATATCAATTACAAATTTTGAAAAAGATGCAAAAAGATTTGTAAAAAAAGATAGGAAAAGATTTGACAAATAAGAGAGATATCTTATTGTACAAGTCATCTTCAATGAACTAGAAAGAACGTTGATGAGGAGTTACCATTCGTGGGGCTTATTTTATGCAGCCCCCACAAGAGCTACCTGTAAGACTTTTCCAAAAAGTTAAAAACAACTCACAACTGCACTTAACTATTGATTGATTTTCAGAATTGCTTGTCTGGGCCGGTCTTCAAAGAAATTATTCAAAAAGAGCATTAAATGAGCCGATGAGGGGGCCCTGCCATGTAAGAAATCTGAACCTCAAATCCAGAAAAATAATTATAAAACTAAACACTAAACTTAGTTGGGCTCAAGTATGATAATGGATCCGTAGGTAAGGCTTACACTAAAACAAGCAGATGCTTGGGCTTTCCTTAAACCCAATCCAAGAAGTTGGGCTGAAATTCTCGGATTGCCTACTCAGACAACATAAAAATTCAAATCTTAGGATTTCTAGGAAAAAAACCTATGATTTCCGAAGAAAATATACATTTTCTAGGGATTTTTTCAATCTGTTTTTCTCTTCTATTGCAACTGGATTTAGGGCACACTGCAAGAAAAAAAAAAAAAAAAAACCCAGGTTGCAATGTTCTTTTTTAACACAAATTATTGTGATAAAAAAATGTTCACAAATACTATATTAATATAATTTTAGTGTAAATTGTCATAACAAAAATTGTCGCTCTAGAC